TCTCTCTGAAGGTAGCTCTCCAGTCCTGTCTGCAGGCTGTACTGGGGCAGGCTTTTGGAGCCTGCTGCAGGGAGGGACTGGGGAATAGATGGCCTCTCCAGGGCTGTCTCAGGCTCGTACAGGTGTGCACTGGGTTTTGCCCAGAGTTAAATTCCCGCCATGAAAACTCTCGCTAACCTCACTCGTGGTCCAGGGCTCATCGTGCTGCTTTCTGTTTTCCCAGTGAACGAGGACTGGCTGGAAGGACGCTGCAATGGCAAGACTGGCATCTTCCCCAGATGCTTTGCCACCCAGACCAGTTGTGATGCTACCTTCCTATAGCGAACAGGAGCCTTTTCCTGCCTGACTGCACTGTCTCCCAGGGGTGGGAGACACTGCTCCCAGCTCGTTCGGGCCCCAGCCAGCCCAGCCAGGAGCTCAGCTGAGCCTGGGCAGGAGATGTCCCCCACCTGCAGATCCCATGGGCTCAGTTCCAGCAGTCTGACAGCATTTTCTACAGCCTGTTCCCAGACATGGCATTTTTACCTCTGTGATTACGCTGCCAAAGACGTACCCATGCAGGGCAGAGAGAAGGGAGAGGGATCTGGTGTTTGGCTGTGAGGAACGTCCATGTGGCAGCTCAGAGCTTAGACGCTCAGACTGCTGGGTGGGAAGAGGTTCCCCTGGATGGAGGTCCTCACCCCTCTGCCTTGTTGCTCAAGTTCGGGCCGGGAAGGCTGAGCCAAGGATAGCCGCCTGCGATGGGGAGGCAGAGCCCAGCTCCCCACACATCCTTATCTCCACCAGACAGAGATGCTGCTCTTTCGGAAGGCTCTTGTAACCAGTTTGCAGTGGGGTGTATGGGATAACAGCTCGGGTTAGGACCAGCGTGTATCATCTTCCGCAGCAAACACCCCATGGATCTGCCAGAGCCAAAGGGCTCGGAGCACTCCTCAGCCCAGATGCCTTTGGATCTTTTCTTAAAGCTCCTAAATCCTGCCTGGATGTTCCTGCTGCACGCTGTGTGGGCAGGGGTGTTGCAGCAGGGAGCAGGAATTGTGGAAGCCCCCCTGCCTGGACCAGCCCTGGGCTTTGGCAGAGCCTCGGGGGGCTGGGGAGCGGCTGGCTGCGCAGCGCGGGGTTGTGCTGGGGGTGGGAAGGACTGGAATGACTGTCCGGTTCCTGCAGCCGGGCTGGGCTGGGCTCTGCTGATCTCAATGAAACACTCAAGTGCCTGGAGCTGGAACCTGCTGCAGATTTGGTGTCTGACAAGGCTGGGCTATGTAACTGGAATATAAAATAAACCCTGAGTCAGAGCTGGCAGCTCTTAAATCACCTTCCACTTGTGTTTTTCTGCTGAGATATGCCAGTAAATATTTTTAAAGACAGCTGGCAGTGTCTTTGGGAAGATACTCTGTCACATACTACAGAAATCCCGCATCTCTTGCACAGGGCCAGATCCAGCTAAGGTCACCCCTCTCCTCAGAGCTGAGGTGGCCACCGCTGCTCACCATGATGGGATTGCTGCCCAGCAGGAGGGGGAGTGCCAAGGAAGCTCTGCTGGGCTGGTTAGTGCCTTTCGTATTTGAAAAACAAAAAGGATTTTATTTCTGGTTTGAATTTATCTGGCTTCATCTAGCCACCAAGTCTCAGTCAGCTTTTGTCAGCCAGATTAAAGGAGTCTTTTCCTCTTGGAGGTACTTTGGGAGCTCAAGACACTTTTGTCAGCTTCAAAATCTTTACAGAGATGACCCAATTAGACGGGTCTAATGCCCTCATTCTTCTCCCCGCTCCACCTTCTTTTGCACCACTTCCCTGCCTGCTCTAGTGGCCAGGATGCCTCTGGTCAGGAGGCTGGGAGCTACTTGGTTTTCCAGAAACACTGGAGGAAAATGGCCACCAGGCCTGCCACTGCGGCTAGCACAATGAAGGAGACGGCACCTGCCCACAGACTGGGCTGGTGGCCCTTGACGTGCTCCAGAGCCTCCGTGGGGATCATGTTGGTGAGGTTCAGCATGAAGCCCAGCGTCCAGCCGATGTCCATGTTCGCTGCCTGAGGCGAGAGAGCAGAGGTGGTCATCCTCAAGTGCCTCTCCCCAGCACTGGTAGCTTTGGCACAAGGGACTGACGGGCACCTCTGCCATGAGCTGCCCCAGCTGTGCTTTCACACCTGGAGCTGGCTGTGGGGAACCTGATCCTACCAGCACCAGCAACATGGAGCTCTCCTGGCCCCCTTCCCGAGGGCTGAAGGGCAGCTGAGCATGGATGGCTGCTCCGGTCTAGATGTGCCTCTGTGACCTGCGGCTGGTGTGGGAGCTGAGCTTTTCTCCTCCCCAGTGATCCTTCAAATTTGGTCATATTCTGGTTCAAAAGGGTCATGGGGCCGCCAAAAGGGTCATGGGGCCGCCATCATCTCTCTGATCATCATAGACTGGTTTGGGTTGGGAGGGACCTTAAAGCCCATCCAGTGCCACCCCCTGCCATGGGCAGGGACACCTCCCACCAGCCCAGGTTGCCCAAAGCCTCATCCAGCCTGGCCTTGAACCCCTCCAGGGATGGGGCATCCACAGCTTCTCTGGGCACCCTGGGCCACTGCCTCACCCCCCGCACAGGAAAACATTTCTTCCTCACATCTCATCTCCATCTCCCCTCTTGCACCTTAAACCTGTTCCCCCTCATCCTGTCGCTACCCTCCCCTGGTGCTCAAGTCAATTCTGCCCAACATCAGAGACCAAAGTGGCCAAATCCTGCTCTGCACTGCCCTGACCCTCTTTAAATTAGCTTATGTTCAGATTAAGTGAGAAACAAGCTGGTGTCAGGGGTTTTGGGGCAGGCAGGAGTGAAGCTGTGCTGCGATCGCTGGGTCGCAGGTGTAAGATGGGGACACATTTTTGGCACAGCAGACTCCAGGATGCTGCTCCTGAATGTGTCCTCAGGCCAAGGCAAGGATGTGGCCACCGCTGCCTGCCCGCTGCCCCCGCCCCGCAGCACCTTTACCTGCTGGCTGAAGCGGATGCTGCTCCATGTGTGTGCATCGAACTTGTAGCCATCGAGCAGCAGCGTCAAGATGTAAATTGCCACGGAGCAGTAGGTGTGTAGGTACCCCTTCTCCTGCGGGAAGGTCTCTACCAGCTGTGGGGCCAGCGGGGGACACAGTGCAATGGGGAATGAAAGAGATGCTCAGGAACCCTCCCTCGCCCGGGGAACAGCAGAACGTGGGCTTCCTGGACAAAGGTTTGGGACAGGACACACATGGGGCTTCTTCCTGCCCTTCACAAGGCTCTCACCTCTGCCCAGTTCTTCTTGCAGAAGGTCTGGACTGTGGAGTTGACATCGCTTAGAGACTGCTGGCTGGTCAGGTTCAGGAAGCGGAAGGTGTAGTAGAACCCGGCAAAGGCCTTGGGGGGTAAGGGGAGATGGTAAAAACTAAATCACCTTCCTCATCCCAAAAAACAACCCAGGGGCCCCTCTTGCCTGGGACAGAGTCCCATGTAATTCCCAGGGTTCTGCACCCACTTGGTGGTCCTCCAGAAAGTCTTGGAGCTGGTGGACACACCTGGGGCTGCTGCTTGCACTCTGAGCTAGCTCAGACTTGCTTCGTGGGGCAAGATCCTCCTGTTTCCCTCAGGGAGGGCTGGGACATGGCAGGAGGCAGAAGCTACCTCCCAGCATAAAAGAAATCTGCAGATGGGACCAGCTCTGGGGTCCCCTCTCTCCCCACCCATTCCCACAACCAGTGGCAGAGGACCCTCCCACCCTCTGTCCTCCCCCATCACAGCCGTGAGACGGAGGCTCCTTACGAAGAACTGTCCCCGCACAGGGGGCTGATAAACCCTGTTGAACCCGCACGTCCTGTTGGCCCCACAGCTGAAGTCGAAGAGTTTTTGGATGGCGGTGCTGCACTCAGCTGGGTCCCCTGTCCCTGTCACCGTGAGGACCTGTGCAGGGCTGGGTGTGCTCGGTGCATGGACACAGGGACTGTCGTAGAGGTCTGCCGTGGTGACGTTCTCCTGGTATCCCTTGGGGTAGCAGGGGTGTGATATCTGCTGGGGCGTCGGGCTGCCCTGCAGGGAGGGGGAGCTGTTAGGGGGCTTGGCCTGGGATGCCACTGAGACCCCACCCCACAGCCCAGCCTGTGCTTAGACATTCCCACAAAGCAGGATGTAGACCCCAGGAGGATCTGTGGAGAAGCAGGATCCATCCATTGCATGACCAACCTGCCATGGCTTTTGCCGGTCCTGCTGTCAGCCCCCCACCAAGCCGTGCTGCGGTGGCAATGTCACGGCAGCCTGTGCCCCCCCGGGGGGACGGCAGCCTGGTCTTG